TTGAATGTTTCATCCTGTTGTTCTCTAAGACATAAAGCAGATCATTTGATGGAATTAATTTACACAAATTCTAGCATTTTTACAATTGCTCAAGAGATGAATTTATACAAAATGCCAAAGATTAGCTGGTTGCAGCCCTTATATCACCTGCCACAGTACGGCCTTATAATGAAGCAGCTTAAGGGCATTTCAACTATTTAGATTTATGCTAAAGGTTAATCAACGGAAAATAAAACAGCTAGGCTTCCCTCATCTTATCAGTTATACAGCTCTGGAGTGATAAGCAGGAGTTACATAATAATTCCTCTCTGCTCAGTCCACGCTTTCTCTTACAACCAGAGCTAACACACCCACTCACACAGTCACTAAAACATTCACATGCACATTTGCTGCTGCCCAACGCTGAACCCACGCTAGTGTGCCAACTGCTGAGCACGATGATGACACCCCAACAAAATGAGGTGGTTATCTAAATATAAATGTACGTGTCACTGCAACCTTTGTTTGTTAAAGATAACAAATTAAATGTAGGCAATAGTTTGGCCCGGTACATTTCAGGATCCCTCTTTTTAATCTGATTCAGCAGTTGAGAGCACATATTATATACCATTTCGATTTTTCTTTCTTGTCCTTTTATAAAATAATTACCATATCTGTCTCTTCCGATCCATCTTGCCTTCAGGGTCGACGCATTCCCTCATTAGAGCTTAATGCCTGTGAGGCTATTATAAATGCCTGACATGACAGGACATGAGAGAAGCAGGGAGAGATATAGGGAGGGAGGGAGTTCTTCTTGCTCTTCATCTTCACTGCCAAGGCCAACAAGCCTTCCATTTGGATGGTACAGTGTGTTTTTATCCTACCCTTCCCTGAGGCAACATATCAAATAAAATCACACCCAATATTAGCTCTTGGACATCTGAACATGTTGTTGATAGGCCTTTGATGATGGAGCATGAAAAGCTGTAGTTTAGTTGCATAGGTAACACTGTAGTCATGGCTAATGATACAATAGCGCTATGGTCATGTGATACCTCTTGTTTGGTCCATTTGAGCTCGAAAGGAACAGTGTCTGAAGGGGACAAGGTTTAAGGGTCATTTAGTTGCTATGTTTCTCTATCTGGTACTGGAGAGGAGCCAGTTCACCTCCTGGGCCACTGCCGAAGTGCCCTTGAGCAAGGCACCTAACCCCAAACTGCTCACTGCCGCCGGCTAGACTGACTGCCTTCACTCTGACCTCTCAACTGCATGTGCATGTGTGCATATAACTGTGTGTGCATATAACTGTATGTGCATGTTGTAAAAAGTGTGTACTGTGTGTACTGTATTACCTGTAAAAAAAACGCATGTGTGTACGACAGAGTGGAAACTGAATTTCCCCCTCGGGGATTAATAAAGGTCCATCTTCTTCTTCTTCTATTTCCTAGCTTTTCATTTGGCTATATTTGACAGATTATTTGATAAAGAACATAATTGCTTGTTGGCAGCCCTACTTTAGAGTACTAATTGTTCAAATGTGTTACTGTTTTGGTATAAGGACACTTGAGATTTGTTAAAGTGAAATGAAATCCAGGACTTGGTGATCTCTAACCCTGTGTTCTATATACAAACTGCAACATCAATGCTGTAGTAGACATAGCGTGCATGTTATCTGGTGTCTGTGAACTATGTCTCATTTTGTATTGATAGTGTAGATCCATATGAATAATTGTTAAGCTCTGCACCATTACTCAATGTGTCTCATACAAGTATGTTGGTGTATTCTTCCCTTGAGGTCAGCCCTGCTGTGGGTGTGTGCCCATATCTGCCAGCTAAAACTTACATAACTGCATGGATCCCGCCTGAACTCAAATGTGGGTGTGTGCTCGACACGGCATTTAATGTTCAAAGTACCGCAAATGATTGACTCCCTAAACTGCTTTCTTAAGAAGTACCCGAAGACAATTTATTGACTTAATAACAAAAGGTGGCCAGGACAAAGTGAGACGTGTTCTGTTTGCTGCCACACCTTCAGTGTCTGGCAGCTTTCCAAGGGAGCTGTTTATCTTTGAGGGTATGGATGGGTATACAGTAGATTTAGGTTTAGAGGGTATTAGCAGGAGGATGTGCAGATAATCAACAGAGGTTGGGCTCCAAACATGCACGGACAGCAGCAGTGTGTGTACCCATAGAGGTAACTCTAGTGCAGGCCTGGGTATGCATGTATGAGCTCGCCGAACTAAAAACTAAAATACATCAACTTGTTGTACAATATCTGGATTACAGTGTTAGTTTAGTGTATGGCACACACCAATGCAAGTGCAGGCTCAGTTGGCTTTGCATGCTAGATATAACACAGGGCAGAGTACATAATAGGTTCATACATGATTCATAATAAACAACAGCTACAGTCAATTCTAAACCAATACATCCAGATGTCCAAGATCAGCTTTATTATTTTCTATATTTAATAAGGTTTACTAGAGCCCAGATGCGTCTAGGAGTTAGAAGCATGTCACACCAAACCTTATACGAAAATCTGTGAATTTAGACTAACTTAACGTAGACCCAAATCAAGAATAAAACAAGATCAATATGACTCATTTACAGCTATGCTCCACAGCCACGACACATGTATTCATCCAAAATAACAATCACAACTAATTGTAGTTAAAATGTATTAAAAAAGTTATTCCTGCTTCCGTTTGCGGTCAAACATAATATGGTGGACAGTGTTCAGCCCTGAACCAGGTGTAACATAATAAATTAATGGAAAAGCTTAATGCCGAATTAAACAACATTCGTTAATGGATAGTGGGACCTTTTATAATGACTCTGGGAGAGGTATATATTCCCGGACACGAGTTGAAACATTAAACCTGCAGATTTATACGCGAGGTTTGGTGGAGTTTTTCCCTGTACAAGAGAACTGCTCGTAGCGCGGTTCCGAACTCACAAGTGAGCAAACTGAGAGGTAACAAGTGCTTTTTAATATTAAGAAAGTTGATTCCAAGCACAGTAAATACATGATAATTACAAAGTTGTTGGTAAAATTCCCGTTATAGACATGTTTTCCTACCTTGCAGTTGCAGTCGGTGTTCCTGCTGTTCTGTACTGAGGCGTATCTGTCTCTCCTCCTACAACTCTGCGCTCCAACTCTCCTGCGTCACTTATTGACATCCTACTTTAACCAGTCTGGTACATTTTCACTTTTCAGGCAGGCAATTAGTGAAATTCATCTTACACATGTTGTGGGTAAATGACAGCAACTGCCCCTAGACAAAGCAGTATGTCACCCAGCCATGTCACACTGGAGGTGAAAGTTCAACACCTCCTGTGAGACAGGTGAACGGAACAAGTGCGACTGTAATCAGTCACTATGGCTGCGTCCCTTTCCAGAAAAGTCCACCCTGGTCATTTCCTTGTCAGGAAACTTAAGCTCTTTGGTGAAGGTGCAACAAGAATAATCATTGTAGTGATCGTCGCTTCGGAAATACATTTATATTAGATAGAAACAAGATTAGGCTACTTTCCCAAACTATGATCAAACATGTAACTGTATTTGCACATTTCTTACAAAGTCCTCTAAAAATCCCCAAAAGCATAGGCCTATGTGCAGAAAGCAGATCACATATAATGTCATAATGTCAACTGTCATCTACACATTATAGGCATGCATGCCAAAATGTAATCCCAAACATATAATAAAATATAGCCTTTTTTTATTGTTATCCACCAACTTCTAAAACCACAACTTCATCCCTAGTGCATAGAGATTATGTCAAATCTGTGTGCCATTTTAAGGTATTGTGACAGATTATGTTGTTTAACTTGCTTATTTTTACTACCGAGAGATGTGCACATATTTAAAGTGTTGCATAATTTCAGGAAATTCTGCAGGAGGTTGTGTTCCTGCATGCCAATCGTTTTAAAAAATATGAAAATATTGTCTGTCAGCATCCGCAACCACCTGCCAAAAGATTTACAGTTTTGGTTAATTGTCTGCAGGAAGAACAGTGCCCACTTCCTGTTCTGACTTATTTTTGCTGGCAAAAAGATGAAATGTACTTTAATTTATTCAACTAATCACGTCCCATATCATTAAAGCTGAAAGAACATGTGAAAGGTTTTTCCAAGTCTGTCTAACTCCATTATTGTAATTTCGACGTCTTAATCAAATCCAGTGGGTATCTTCCAGAGTGAGTCCATTTCTGTACATAACACCCTCTTTGTGTTTCCCTGAACAGTGACTCCTTGTTGAGCTGCAGTGGGAAAGTAACACAAAGAGGGAACTCTGTACTGAAAAGACTTGGAAGATACCCTTTTTCATATTTTTCTCATATCTTCAGCAGAGGGAAAATATTACAAAGGCATTCACATTCAAATGCAATTTAGACTTTTTATTAACCTGTGTTTAAATCACCGGACCTGTTGTGCTGAATTATTTCATGGTTGTCACTGCTTTGTGTTGCTGTTGTCTGAAATAGGAGCAATTCCAAAGGGAGCCACAAGAGGTCAGTGTTGTTTTACATAAGAACAAATAAACCGCATCCATCAGTGGCTCAGTGGTTCACTTTAATCCAGATTAACATCTATCATAATTACGTCATAATAATACCATAGTTATAATGCAATATTACATTTTTAATTAACATTTAACATTTCATTTTAATGTCCTCATTATTTAAAGGTCTATAGCCAATTACAATTACATGTGTATTATGCCTAAATTAATATAACATCATTACATTTAGACGTGTGAAAATAAGGCACTGCATATTTTATTCTAAACTAAAGTCTTTATTGATTGCTGGATTCTCGTTGGGTCTTCTGCATAAAATAGCCTATCCTTGTTTTTTCAATATTACATTTCAATATATTAGCCTATATATATAAAAGGATACAATCTGCGCAGTTACTCAGGAAACATAATCCAGTGTCAATGCTCTGTAGGAACCTGTAGGAACCCTATCATCTCCCCCCCCTCTCTCTGCCCCCTCTCTCCCCCTCCTCCCACAGAGGATGCAGGACAGTGTGGACCTGACTCCTGGCGCCAGAGAGAAGTGGCAGTGATCATCACGAGGACAATCACAAAATCACGCTCTGGGATCAGATTAATTTACGTGTTTTTATTCCGGTTTTACCCCTACTGATCCTTCACTTATTTCACTTGACTCGGGACAGCATGACGGAGATCGGATTTACACAATTTGGATTATTTCAATGATGGTTCGCTTCAAATGCACATTTCCACGGAGCTGCAGCTGAGGTTTCATTCAAAATCCGATTGGATTTGCTAACAGCGTGATGGATACAAATGAGTTCGCAGTACTGAAACTTTTTGTTGTTGGGATTTTGGGTGAGTATGTTTTATATATTTGTTTTTCTTATTTGCAGAACGCTTGGTAATGATAGAAAACTGGATAGTGAGTTATTACAGGTTGAAATAGCATCACAATGAAGCGAGGAGTTTATTCCCACTAATTAACATAATCAGATATTGAACACATCAGTTCATCATTAAATTGCCACACTTCTATATCTTATTTTGTGTTCATGAGTGTGTCAAGTTGCAACGTGCACATAATAAGACTTATAAGAAGTCCCAGGGCAAATCTATCACATCACATGCAGTGAATGTGGAATATATGCCCCTTTGGACAGACCTCATCTGACCTATATTGTTGCTAATGGATATTTCTGGATCCAGCTCATTAGTTATTGGTTAAATAATTAAATTATGTTTAATGGTTGTTGAATCCTGTTGTGAAACATTACTGAGCTGTTTTCATGATTTAGATGCTCGTGTGGATGTGTTCTGCTAAGCATGAATCCAGATAATCTGCTGCTGTAAACCCTGATATATATAGCTGTAGTAGCAGTGTAAGCAGAGTAAATGCAATGACTCAGTGGTGAAGAGGAGTTCAGATATCAAGCTGATGTGCAGCACAGTGACTTCTGGCTGGTTAAGTAGCCTGAGTGCTCTAGTGAGCTGTTGTTGGGCTGATATTGGGGCCACCATGGTCTGACACTGATTGAAATGACCTGTCTTCCTACCATGTGGATACATGAGCCAGGAGATATACTGTAGGATTTTCAAGGTTATAATTTCAAGGTCTGTGGTTCAGAAGAAGTTCAAACATAGGTGCTTATCTACAGTGATGCTTTACCTTCAGCGCCTTTGAAAGGCAGGTACACAAAAAAATCAAAATCAACTTTATTGTCCAAGAATGTGTACAAATTAAAGGAATTTGAATTTTTTATTTGCATAGACATGGAAATGCATATAAATAGACATTAGGGCAACACAGAAAAGATGATATAACAAATGGAAGGTCTATGTCACCAGTATGTGGAATATAGGTGTATGTATACATAAAGCACAAATGACAAACAATGGAGTAAGATTATAAAATATAGAATTTATAATATAATAAAGCTGAGTTATGATCATTTGGAGTTGGCTGGTGTTGACAATTTACATGATGCAAATTTCAATATATTTCATTATATTGCTGTAAACAAGCCAAGTGTTCTGTAGCCCATGCAGAATATCCAAATGAAATACATACTTATTAGTATTGATGATTACATACAGTGTGTACATCTATAAATACATGTAAAAACATGAATGCATTTAGGAAGTCCTTGGTCATTTTAAAGAGAAAAGTCTTGTGGTAGTTAGTGAGATGGGGGCCAAGTCTGGACAGGACCTTCAGCCTGGACTCCCCTGGGTCTCTGCTATGTAGCAGCTGTGGCCCTATGCGTTGTACGGCCAAGCAGAAAACTAGCTTAGATGGACCTTTTATGACTTAAAGCATGTGTTATGCTCAGTTGCTGGACATGCCAGTGTAATGGAAAGCAGGAAGAAAAGACTCAGACTTATCTATGTTTTATGAGTCCACAAATGGCAAATTTCACCACAGCTGCTGCTGTCAAAGCAATTATATTCCCATGTTGTGAAGACATGCAGCAATGGTTTCCTCTGACAGCTCTTGTCTAGACTCAAAGAGTTTCCCATCAAGACCCCCGTTGGGAAGAAGAAAGGTGGAGGCCAGATGCAGCCTGTGTGTTGAAAGACAAACAAATCGTTCTGATTTGTTACTTGAGTATAAGATCCCATCTGCACCGCAGCAAAACACTGATTCCCACTGACTGGGAAGCATCTGCTTATCCTAATAAACAGCTATGCATACAGTCTCACAGCAAAGGAAAAGCCTTGGGGTTTTTCTGTTCTATCTGAGAAATACCATTCTTGTGAACTATTATATAGTAAAATGCTATTCATAGACCCTAGGTGAGATATTGTTGTTTGTTGATCTCAGTTCATGTAAAAGGCTGATGTCCATGGGCTGCTTCCTTACACATGGATGTTGTTACACACAGTTGTGTTCATCACCTGCACTTTCCTGTAGTGAAAGGCTTTCAAGTTCAGTAATCAATCCAAATCATTTCTTTGTTAGATGAAGAAATGTGAGCTGGGCAGATTGTGTCTGGTTTTGCCAAAGTGCCTTTTATTTGTTCAGACTAAAGGATATTTCTTATTGTCTCCACACTCCAAAGACCAAATCTTACAATCCACTATAGGCAAATGTGTGATATTTTATTGCTCCCACTATCTCTCACCTGGAGTGGAAGCATGTTAAGAGCATTATTAATCTTTCAGTTGCCGTTAAAGATTCACCAGAAGGGTTTGTCTCTTCGCTCATCATGCTCAAAGCATGCTGACGGCTTGCTGACTCTTAGTCCCAGTGTGGGAATCTGACTAAGCACCATATGGTCAGCAGATTGCAGAGGCACCTATGCACCTATCAAGTCAATGCTTATCCATCTCACCATTAATTATTTAAAGGTTCCACTAAAAACGGTACTAAAGCTGCAATGTTCTTCCATCAGTTTGGATGTGCAAATCTAAATTAATTTGCCTGTTTGTTGGACAATCTAAATATGTCAATTTGTGCTGTGAGAAATTATGATTGACACATTTTGTTTCCATATATACCATAGAAACTCCACTTAATACACAGGATGAAAGCTATTCTTTATATATCAATGTGTTGACGTCATGTGTTCTTCAAAATACTGTATATCAAATAAAACAGGTTAATTTCAGAGGAAAAACCAAATGTCATTATCTGATATAATTTGCAGGAGACGTCATACACTGGTACATGCTCCTCAAAGGAGCAGCAAGAGGGCAGAGATGGAAGAGGAAGGTAGTTATTTGTCTTGATATTTGACAGCGAGCTGATTTTCTGCCAAACGACCTTCACATTCTATCACAGAACAGAATAGGTAATGAGCACTATTATACTCAGCATTGAATTGAAGGTGTAACTGGTGACTGTAATGATAGACTGAAATTATCTAATGATGACCTGAGAGGGCCAAATGTCATGACATTCAGAAACAGGTCCGTTGAGTTTGATTTGGTGTATGAGAAGAGCTCTTTGTTGAAATGTTCTCACCACAGGCATAGTGTGCAATAGTCTGTGACAGCTGTAAGAAGTTGTAAAAGCATTACAAGGATTATATGTAAAGCTCCCTGGCAGGGTTCATGGTGCTAGTGTTCAGAAAAAATAAAATAAATCTGGGGGTGTGGAGTTAGAAAGAGTTTAGCAGACATGAAGAGGTAACATCAGGTTGAATACAATACAATACTTCTTATTTACCTTCTATGGATGAGTCTGATGTTGTTTATGCTAGGTTGGCTGTCTAATGTGCGTTCTTCTATTTATGTTCGGTAAATACAGACCAGTCGAGTGGGGGTTTTCTGATTCCACTTGTGTTATATACAGAACATGAGACGTCTGGTTATGAAGGTTTCAAAGTTGTTTCAATGCACCTTTTGACGTACTTGTGATAAATAATGGAAGTAATAATAAATGCCTATTAGGTTTGTTGTTGCGTAATTCGTAATAAGACCTTTATAATTGATTGCACGTCAGGTAACTGTCAGTTTTATCCACTGCGTACCAATTCATTTTATAATAAATACTCCTACAGCAGTCATATCATCACAAGGTGAGCAATACCAAATGAACACATATCAGATTTGGATTTTGTTCATTTTCTAATTAATATGGTGGTGAGCAAATTGCCCCGACTCTTCCCAGAAGGCTTCTCGAGTTCAGTCTAATATGGGACTGCAACACAAATGTCAATGAAGGTCTTGGATTTATTAATGCCCTTTTAGCGCTCTTGTTTGGCCTCACAGTCTTTGACCCAGTGTTACAATTTTAATGTATGACTCGTCACACTGTCTCTGTTTCGGCATACTAATATTTCTCACTGTCTGTCTGTCTCCCTCTGTGCCTCCTCTGCTGTCGTTACTCTTTCGCCTTTTTGTCTCTCAGACAGGTTGATGAACAGCATGTTGGCACTGTCCTGACCGCCTCCAAGGCAGAGGCCCTTGGTCAACAACTGACAGAAATACAACTTTTATGCAACCGGTTTTACCAAGGAAAATTGTAATCGGGTAATCCAGCCCGGTTTTAATGGGCGTCAAATTCAGAGGTTGGTCAAATTTGAGGCCATAGGGTCCTGACCAAGCGTCTGTGAGGAGTGGGGATTCAAAATGGGTTAGGAAATTATCTGTGAGATGATTTAAGCATCCCTATTCGTTTTATATCAGAACTCATCTGTCTCATTATCCATGTGTCTGTCTATTGCTGTTTCCATTACGTCGGTGATGAGAATTTGGCCCGAGTCAGAGTGATAACACATTCATCTGCTGTACTTTGGCTTTTATCACACAGATTGTGCCAAGGAACTGTAATGAATGGCCAGGACAAGTTGACATATTTATAACTGACTGGCTGTGTGGGAGACTGAATCGCTCAGCGGGGTGAAGTGTTTACTGCCAAAGGATGCAGACAACTAATCAGGGGTCCTGCATTTGTCATTGAGCCCAGTCCCAATTTATCAGAGAAGAACAAGTGACCCATTTCCACTTTCCACTGAACCTCTACATTTAGAGCTTTGTCTCTTTGTAGCCACGCCATGTAGACTCCTGTGAAAAGCATTTAGTGTTTTTTAAAAGTGGGTAATTCAAGCCTTTATCATTTTATTCCAAACAACAAATGTTTGCTTTTTATTGGAGGCAAGCATTTCAATGGAGCTAATTGTTGTGGTTTGTCAGAGACGGGGTGAAACAGTGTAGCTTCAGGCCATTTTTGGCTTCTATGTTTTTTAATTATAAACTTGTCTAGAGTTGAAGAGAAGTGCACAGTGAATGCTGATGAAAGCCCGAATTGTGAATTGCCTCTCTAATTACGTTTTTCCTTTTAATTATCTTTGCTAACGAAGAATGATGTGGAATTTATACGTGTGCTGATTCCGCCACATTCCGCCATTCAC